CAGGTTTTGTATTAAAAGTTATAAAGCGATAAAGTTTGGAAAAAATCGGTAAATCATATCGAATAAAAATTTTAGGAAAAATTGAAGGATGATAAATTAGAGTTAAAAAAATATTATTTTGACATTTTAAAATGTTGGAAAATAATATTAACCATTGGATTTGAGGATTTAATTCAATGTTGAATATGGGCCGTTGGATTAAAGTGGCAAGATTGTAATTTTTGGGAAATTTCAAGGGAAAATCGGTAAAGTGTGAATTTTTTAGTTCATCTTTGACTTTTGGAAGATGACAAGGTTTAGGTTTCTTGGTTTGATGGTAAATATGAAGTTTCATTGAGGGTAAATTGGTTATTTCCCAATTAAAAAAATTTAATATCTATTAAAGCATAAATTAAAGGTAAATTAATTTGAAATTTATCTAAAATTTCATGTCATCTTATTCATATTCTTCTCAATTACCGTGAACCCCTCCAAAGGTGAGATTTTTTTCTATTTTTGAGCAATTTCCTTTGAATTTTGGGTTATACCGTGAAATAAAAAATTGTTCTACGCGAGAAACACTATCTTTTGGTACCATTTATGCTTGCTAATCTTGCTTGATTTTGAAGATCCCAAATCGTAGGGTTTGTGTTCACATTAGGGTTAATGAAATTGATGATGAATCTTGATTTTTTGAGGCTATAGATTCATTTTCAAGCTTGTTTGATGATTAAAATATGTTCAATCTTCCTATAAATGCTTTTATGATTTTCGGTCAAATGATAGAGTTGTAGAACTTTTGTTTTGATGAAATTTGATTATGGCTTTGATTTTATAGATGTTGTAAGGTGGATGGTAGTGGATTTCATGCTTGAATCGAATCAAAATCATGGAAACCTTAGTTATAAACCTTTAGAACATTCGACCAAAGCTTGTTTTAATGAGAAAAATTATGGAAAATTATGTAAGGGATGGAAATGAGGTAGGAAGTATTCTAGAAGCCTTAGAAAAATTTGGGGATCATTTGGTAATTTTTGAAAAGTTGAAGGGTTAAATCGGTAATTTTAGAAAAATAATGGGTTGTTTTTTAATTATTATATAATTGATGTACAATGTCGGATATTGCTGTTTAGGAATTTAAATGAGTGTTAGGATGTGAAATTTGATCATTTTGGAACTTTGGAAAGTTTGATATTTTTATGCAATATTCGAATAGTTGGGGTGTTTAATTGTAATTGTTCCTTTGTAAAAGTACTTGGTTGTAATAATTTTAATGCTGGAATTTTTGGTATTTAAAATTTAAGTGATAAAATGGTGAAGGACCATTTTGTATAATTTGGAAAAGTTGGTGCCAATATTAAAAGAATTAATAAGTGCTGAAGTATTTTGGTAGAGAATAAGTTTCAAGTATAATTATCGATTTTGTTTTGGAAATGTATTTATGTTAGTACAATACTAACATATGTATCGATATCAATTTTTGATTTTTGTACAGATCGTGATTGGTTTTTTGATCGAAACAAATCGAGTATAAAAGGGATTAAGTTGGGAGCATAGTGAGGCAAATCTTTTGAAAATTATAAAGTGTCAAGGTGAGTGCAATACATGCATGACATTGTACATAGATGTTTTATACATCACCAGGAAGACTTGCGATGAGTCTACCTTGTTTATATCAGCATGATATTATGTAATTATTCATAATATCAACATTACCTTGATATGTCAAAGTGTGGAAATCATAATGCATTATTCACTGACAAATATGATATTTTTCCATGAATTTTATTTTGGGTATGAACTGCCCTAATGTTAATTATATGGTTATATGATGCCATGGATGAATAAATTATAATATGCCAAAGTAAATCGGTGAAGGACAGTGTATAGTTGGCATGCCATAGAGTATAGCAGCTGCAAGTTATATTAGCACTAGTGTATAATAACACTAAGTGCAGATGGTAGGCACGACCTTATGTGTCATATCCGGATTAGCACTAGAGTGTAAACCTAGTGTAGGTGGTGTGTACGACCCTACGTATCATATCCGGATTAGCACTAGAGCTTAAGCTTAGTGCAGGTTTAGAACTACGGTGTATATATTTTACTCGAATACCCAGAGTCTTCATAGGTTTACATTTGGGATATGGTTATTGGAATAAATGATTATAATGATATTATTATCATGTGATTATGGTAAAATATCAATCATGCAGGTAAGGTGATCTTATTGCATTAGAAAATAACATTTAATTTCATGCATGAGTTGTATTGCACATTAATTGTCTCACTAAGTGTATACTTAGCGTGTGATGATTTTCACGTGTAGGTAAGAAGCATGAGTAGGAGTAAAGAGTGCTGAACAACACCAAACATCGAGGAGTATATTACAATATCAGTAAGACATCCTTTGATGTGATTTTGACTTAGTTAGTGGCATGTATTTATGAATGTCCTAGTTGTTTTGTTGAACTATTTTGGATCTAGTTTGTAATGGCTAAACTAAACTATTTTACTCTATTTCACTATGAATAGCATAAATCAGTATTATTATTATTATTATAAATAGATGTATTTTATTTAATATATGTTTTAAATATTATGTGATAATTTTAAGTGATTTAATATTTTTATATTATCAGTTATAATTTGAAAAAAAAATTAAATTACTTTTGAATTTTTAAAATGTTTTAAGTAATTCATGTGACATTTATAATCTATATTGGCATAAGTATACGGGTCATAGGTGTTACATTCCGACTAGAGATACAATGTGCAAGTTAGATTCAGAAATAGCGAAAAACGTGAGCTTCGAAGATGTCAGTGAACCTAGGAGGTGTAAGTCATCCTTTCAATTCATGGGGTATTAGAAGGAATTTCAATAAGAGCGGTTAGAGAGTCGCCACTCAGATTTGAACTCGAGTAAGATATCGGGCAAGAAAATAGCGCAGCCAGGGATCATCAACAGCAGAAATCATCGTAAAACCTCAAGAATGCGTAGAGACTTCGCTAGATGCAGATGATGATTAAATGCCTTTAAGTATCAAAAGACAAAGTAGAGCAACCTAATAAATAACATCAGTAACATATCAATAAGCCTTCGCATAGCATTCTAAGAGATAGAATGAGCGAGATAGCATCCAGAGAGAGGATGACCTCACCTTAGTGAGTCCAATTATGCTAGGGTATACCCAGGTTACCTTAGTTTCCCTAGTGGGGTATTTTAAATGCGTGAGGCACTTCAGGAGCTAGTGAGGGTATAAGGCCCGAACACTCACGAGGAGTTAATTAGTGATGTCAGTGTCGTGTGGCCTTAGCTTTGTATGTATAATCATATAAGTCTAGTCAGTCGGTGATGATCATCAAGTGGTATTGGATATCTGAGAACACCTGAAGCAAGTGTGCAAGGCACTTTTGCGTCTGACTTTGGGTGCAATGCCTAACACTCACCAGGGGTGGGTTGGCAGGTGTGATGTCCTTACCCGGATACACTACAATAAGTACGCGAGGCACTCTGACGGCTAATTTGGGCACGATGTCTAACACTCGCAAGGGGTGGATTAGCCATACTTTATATCCACAGTTGTTATTGTCTGATGGCTTTGTGAGACCAGATACACAGTTGAGTTAGAGTTTGCATTTAGATCATGCAAAGCGGTTGTAGTGAGTTTGAGTAGAGACTTGTTAAAGGTGTACTCATAGCGAGGCCCTTGTCTGAGGACTAACGAAAGTGTGAGTATCCTACTTCAATGATATAGCAATAAAGCCTTAAGTAGGTAGCACTTGATCAAGGTCATGTATGTGCCTACTGCTTAGTACCCAGTCTTCAACATGCTTATGTTTATGAAACTCTTATGCTATTCTAGATTAGCGATTATACTGTGAGCTTTGTAAGCTCAACCTTTGGATGTTTTCGTTGGTAGGTTAGCAGCTGGAGCAGTTCATGGAGCACCGTCGCAGCGGGACTTATGTATTTGAGTTGTAAACTTCAAGATGTATTATTTCGTTTTAAATTATGTGTCATGGAGCTCCGTTTTATAAAATGTTTTTATATCAGTTATGTATGCTTTTAATTATGATACCATTGAGTATATTTTTTTTAAGAGAACGAGCAGGTTTTAAAAGTCAAGGGTTGCCTCGGTAGCTCAATGTGGCACTTTAGGCCCAATTGGGTCTAGGGTGTTACAAATATATTTTGGGACTAAAGTATAAAATAATAATTTTTGAAGGACCAAAAATGAATTTTTAATTAAAGAGCTAAAAGGACAGTAGATTGAATGATTAATTTTGTAGAAAGACTAAAAGTATAATTATACCGATACATAAAGGCAGCCAAGACTCGTGCTTGCCTCATCAGATGTTCCTATTCCTCTCCAAATTTTTTTAATTCCATCTTGGACATCTAAGAGTCCTAACTTCGTCCTAAGTACATGCATCAGTCCATTTGATGGTGCATGTGCCGCTTACTATCCGAAGATTGGGGTTACCGGTGATGCATTGTCTGTGATGGATCTCGTCGTAGGAAGGAAGGATGTCGGTGTTAGTGTTACAGCATCATGGTGCTGTACTGTGGTGGATCCAATAATTTAAAAATGGGAATTCAAAAATTTTAGTACTATTTTTTCCAACAAAATGGGTATGTAAAATTTCTTATTTTCTTCTCATTCCCTTAAGTTATTAAACTATATTTAATAACTCATCTAAAATAATGAGTATGCACTTGGTCCTCAAGTGCATCCGCCCTTGGTGGTGTAAGCCAATGGGGATCCAAGTCCGACCATTTTAGTTACGTTTCTTGTTCAGTGGGTTATTTTGGCGTGCATTGGACATATATGATTAATATTAGTACTCCATATTTTGTTTATTTATGTCAATGTTGTTCTACCCAAATTGACTCATCCTTGCAGTTTCTTTCCTTGTAATCTTTGATCTTTTAGTTCTAACAACATGGATAAACAAACACCGAATCCAAAAAAGCTTCAAATTTATCTTTAATATTATCCATAAGGAAAAGAATACAACAAAACATGGCACTTTTATCTGTCCCAAGGAAATAATGAAAACATATGATGAACTAGCCCCCCTATTGCTGGGTAAAATAACACTGATTTTGTTTGCTAGGAAAATGAAGAAATTATTGGACTTCTGAATTTCAATTATTCTTGAGTCTCTCTTCTGATGAATCCTCTAACATATCGGCAAATCCAGCGGCGGTGCTTGTAGTGTCTGTAATTCTCCGACACCGTTATCCACAAGGAAAGCCATAGCTAAGCCCCATGTGATGTGCACATCCAGATGACAGTGCATTATCCACACACCTGGATTATCAGCCACGAATCGAATGACTGCCCATCCATTCACTGGCACTGCTGCCGTGTTCCGGAGAGGTGGATCCACGAGATTGAATTTGGAAGTGTCGGTTTTCGGATCGAAGTTTCCAAAACCTTCTGCGATGATGTAGAAATCATAACCGTGGAGATGGATCGGGTGGTTCTCGGGTGTGACAATGCTTGTGTCTTGTAGCACAATTTGTACCCTTGATCCATACTTGAGTTTGTAGAGCTTGGTTCCTGTAACCGGTTGGTAGAGTGATTGGCTTACGTTTCCGGTGTAATCAAATTGCAACGGTGGAGTTCCCGGGAAATCAGTGGTGAATACTCCTGGAATGCCTTGTTGGTGTGCTTGTAACAGAGAGAAGTTTTGTGGAAGCACGAATGAGACATTGTTCATGCTTGCGGTGAAACGAGTGCCGTTTGGTCCTTGACAACGACTCGAAGGGAAATTCAGGGGGCAGTTGTTGAGTCCGAGACCAACTGTGAAGAAGAGATTCTCGTCGATATCGGTCGGGACTTCAGCTTTTCGGAGACTTCTAAAGCTTTGGCTAAAGGCAGTGACGGTGTTGGTATCATTGTAGGCAGGCAGAGCAGGCATGATTGGTTTGGGTCCATTGATGCCTTTTATGGCAGGGCAAGGTGCAGATTTGTATTCAAGGATTGCAGTGGTGGTAGTGTTGTCGAAGGGTGCGTTTTGGGCGCTTTGGTAGGCACGAGCTGCCATGTAGTATCGAGCCGGTGGCTGGTCACCTTTGATCAGAACATCGGTGGTTTGGCCTGGGCCTAACATGATGACTGAAGTGGTGAAGGGTTTCAAGTAGGAAGCATCAGCACCAACAACAGTGAGTTTATGGTTGGCAACGGTGAAGAAAAGCGGTTGGTTCAGGCCAGCATTGATCACTCTGAGGAGGTTGGTCTCGCCGGCATCGATCGGAACTATCGTAGTATCTGGAAAGGAAAACAAATAAGATGAGGTGGTCAATGTCCTGCAACATCATACAGAATCCAAATTTAGAATTGAATTATATATAGCAAACCTTGGGAGGAGCATTTGTAGAGATCACCAGGTTGACCATTGATTGTATACGCATCGGAGTTATTGGGAGCCGCCCCTGTCCGTGTTGCTTCTCTAACAACATCAATGGGGTCAGCATTCCACCATTCACCGAGCATGACTGCCATTTCACGCTTCGGCTTAGGGAAAGGGTAGGCTTCGCCTTCCCTAGGACGGATGATGATGGCTCCGTAAACAGTGGCTCTAAGCCACGAGCTATGAGCATGCCACCACAATGTTCCTTCTTGTCCTTGAATAGTGAACCTGTAGGTGTAACTCCCTCCTGGTCGAATCGGACACTGAGTTACGAATTCCGGTCCATCTGCCCATCCTGTCCTCATTTGCCGAACACCATGCCTGTAGTATACAAAATGGAAGCCGTTATGATAATTCAAAGTGCATGCATGCAAGGGTGAATGTACTAGTTAATTACCAGTGAATGGTGGCATTATATCGGACTTTGTTGACGACTTCGATTTCGAGCGTATCACCATTCCGGACCTCGAGTGTAGGACCGGGAAGCATGCCGTTCACGGTGATGCTGTTCTGAGTCTTGCACAGCCTCTTCACTGGTGTCTCTTGAATCTGTTCCATTCATACTAAACTGTCACTTCTTTTCACTAGAAACAGCAGCAATTAAGGAATATCGAAGTAGATTAAAAGAAAACGTACGACAAACTGATGTCTTTGAACTTGGGGAAACGCTAAGGACAATGCTGCAGAACAAATGACGAGGAAAACCACGGAAAAGTAGTGATTCTTCAAAGTCTCCATCATTTTTCACCTTTTATTTCAATTTACAGAATGTGTTTGACCGAGTGGGAGACAGAGAGAGATGGGTTTATATAGGGAAGATAAATGGGATGGGAAGAGTTGTTTAAAGTTGGAGGGGTTAGGTTTTTGATTCAACAAAATGCTCAGGCCAGAAAAGCTTGGGGGTTCAATTCAACCCTGTTGTAGGAGTTGTTGCACCCACTACTCTGTCAACACTTTTCCTTCAAATGCTTTGCTTATTTCATAAGAATTTTCACGTTGATTTTCAAGCAAATCCATCATAGTAATCAAGATCTTGTAGGGTACAAACACATTAATTTTTAAATAAAACGCACATTTTCAAATATTGAGGATGATAATATTAAAATCAATTAAATCATATGTCATAGGTTTGAATCGCGCTGGCTGAGAATCCTGGAAAAAAGCGGGGGACAGAGTGGTGTGTTCTTTGAACCCCTCCGAAGGTTGCCTTGTAGGGTCGGGCTTTTTAACCCAACCTTATAGGATCTAAGTTTTTAACCCAGCCTTAGGAGGTCTTACGTTATAAAAAAAAATGAAGAAGATAGGCTTATAGCCAAAGTTATTACTTTTCTAGCCAAACCAAGAAAGTGATTTGCTGTACAATTTAAAAGAACTTTCTTAAAAAGTAGACTTGCCGTATAGATATCTTTTGTTTTGGGGAATTGATTTGCTGTTTTAGTTGGAAGAGCAAAAGGGTTTATCAATTAACATGTGAAACCCAAACTAATCTTCTTGAAAAGCAACCTACTAAAATCACCATTACCTAAAACTTGAAAATTAAGCTTCATTGTAAACATGAAATTCATTTTTTTCCTTCCACCAACATTAATAAATCAAGTGTAAAAAAGTGATATATATATATATTATTATTAATCTAAGGGTATTACAAGTAATAGTATAATTGATAATAAAAGTTCAAATATCCCGCAGCAAAATAATAACTATACTTTTGATCATTGAGATCTTTTTATTTAAACAAAATGCTTGATATCTTAAATTTATACTATGTGAATGAAAAAAATATTACTAAAATGGTTTATCTTCAAAATAAGAATTTGATTGAATTCAAACTACTATACATAACCCTTTAAAAGTGGGATTGATAAATTTTTATTTTTTTTAGAAAAGTGATATATATATATATATATATATATATATATATATTATTAACCTAAGGGTATTACAAGTGATAGTATAATTGATAATAAAAGTTTAAATATCCCGTAGCAAAATAATAACTATACTTTTGATCATTGAGATCTTTTTGTTTAAACAAAATGCTTGATATCTTAAATTTATAACTAAAATGGTTTATCTTCAAAATAAGAATTTGATTGAATTCAAACTAATATACATAACCCTTTAAAAGTGGGATTGATAAATTTTTATTTTTTTTAGAAAAGTGAAAACTAAAAGATTAACACTTTTAGGAAGTTCATAATTATTATTATCTCTATTGCAAAAAGAGCACAATAAGGGGAAAAGTTATAAATGTTGGATATTAAATTTATTAAAATGATTAAATCTATTTGTCTTAATGACGCACCATTAATAATATTATAAGGAGGTGGATTCACAATTTCTTTATCCTCGAGGCTATATTGCAAACCAATAGAGTAGCTTCCATGGCAAAAAATATACAAAAGTTCATTGACCTCAAAAAGGCTTAAAAAGCTGACAGCTAGTTTAAAAATAGACTAAAATGACCAAATCATCAAATATAATTTTATTTAATCTGTCCAAAAGAATTTGACCTACGTGGCATTAAGGGATTCAAGAGGTGATGAGATCACGACGAGAGATGCAAGTGTCGATACAAACGTTTGAGGAAGACGAGTATGTGTTATTCGCAAGAAAAAATAGCGAATTTTGTAGAATTTGAGATTCAATCAAGAGGAGAGGTGATTTAAAGAATGATGAGGCGACGAGGAGTGTAGGGGGGGGGGGGAAGATAATTTTAAGGTCATGTGAGAAATTAAGTATTTAAGGCTTTTTTAAAATAAAAATTTTAGACTTTCTAAATAAAAATTAAAATAAATTAAAAACCAGGTCATATATCAAACAAACTTTAATAGTTTGACCTTAAAATAATTACGAATCCTATAATGATTTTCTTCATTCAAGGAAGAAGACTATTATTTTCTCATTTTCAATACATTTAACAAAAGGGTTAATTTCAACATACATACCTAACGACACTAATATTTTAAATTAATCTCTAAACTTTAAAACCACATTTTAAAATATCATTTAGGTAAATTTCAATATACATCATTTTGGGAGTTACTCAGTCATATGTGACAACTCAAATCAAATATTGAGCATATTTAAAATATAAGTGTAAAATTTTAAATATATATGCCTATTGGATAAACATTTTGAATATAAAGTGTTACAATATCGTATGATATCATTAATATTTTAGAAGTTTTATTCTGCACGTCAGATGTAAATTATCTATGTGTATAGATTATTTAAAATTTGATTTACGTATTTTAGATATGATTCATGATATTTAAATTAATATTTAACACCCAATTTGATGCCCAATGACTAGAGTGATAGGATACTATATATTGAAGGCTCAATAAAAGCACTTAGAAAATTTGGAAATAATTTAGAATATAAACCATAATTTAAGGATGTTCAAATGAATTAAACCTCGGTAATTATTGCATTATGCTATTAAAAATAGTGATTTTGATCGAGTCTAACTAGCATTTTCTTAACAACTTGGCTGGTGGGATGTGGATACTTGAACCGGTCATTCTCGAGTTGTTTTAAATGATGAATTAGGTGAAGTGTCAATAAAAAACAGTTAAAAATATCCCTTTTTTTAGAGAGAGAGAGAGAGAGATTTTATGTAAGAAATGTGGTCACATCATATTATAATGTATGCAGTGTTTCGTGTGGCGTATGTTTGATGAACTAAACAAGGTCCAAGTTGTCTTCCTTTTCATTGCTTACGCGTTTGCTTATGTTCTATTCAAATTTATCTTAAAATCTGCTCATAACATAAATCTTACAATCATCGTTTTGACACTCGCAATGTTCCAAGTCCAACATTATTCAATTTTATTTTGTTTTATCTTATTTCAAAAAATAAAAGATTTTCCCATAGAGTTCAAGCCAACAGACTTGAAGCTCTATTTCATGGATTCTTATCATTAATCCAGTAGTTTCTCGATCATTATTTCTTAAGATGTTTCGGAATATAATAATATATATTGAGTTTAATTAATCTATAATCGAGATGAATCAGATCGTGAATCCGAAGGGATATTGAGTTCTTTTATCGCTGAATCAACAAGAGTAGGTTATTCAATTTCGATAACGATATGAAACAATTATACCAAGTTTTATCTGAAATTGATTGATTAGTTATTCAGAATGCCTGTCAAAAGACAGCGACGTAGGTAATTTCACTTTCGGAATAGGACAAGAACAAAATAATCTAATAACATGGTCATTAAGGTACTAGTTTTTTGGGTCAGATTTCATCTATATTTTGACATTATGCCAAAGACTCAATTTTTTTTTTGCCCTTTATTTCCAAGGCTTCGCCTTGATTAATCTGGATCGACCCGGGTCATACACCTAGTTTTGGTGGGTGAGCCTCCTAGCGGGAATTTATTGCATACACAAGAACTCAAACTTGAGACCTTACTTAAACGATATCATGCTGCTTACCAACTGAACCAACCCCATTGGTAAAACTCAACTTTATGTTCTAAAACTCTTGCTTTTCCTTAAATAATCATAGAATTTTTAACGCTTATTTTGGCGAAAAGAAATACGTGATATATACACAATTACAGATATACAACATAATGCTTATTTCAATGACTAATGTGGACAAAAAGTTTAGGGACCAAACTATGAGAAGTTAACAACTTCAGGGACTATCCTTTGTTCTCTCTCCCCTTCTAGTCACATAATGATTTAGGCTTGTTTGAACAAGTCTTGGTCTATGGTATGAATTAGTTAAGATGAATAGCTAAACCATTGGCTAAATGTTAGAAATATGAAAAGAGAAAAACCCTTGGAAAACAAGAAAAAAATGATGACTTGGGCTAAATGAATTTGTTATTGTCATGTTTTGAAAAATAGATAGGTGAACAACAAACGTTGGAGGAACAATGAACAAAGTTGGTAAATGTTTGTTGCTGACTTTTCATTATCTTAATTACAGAATTGAGAGAAAATTAAAATTAAAAAAAAAGTAAGGTCGTTATAAGCAATGAAATTGATGGATGAGCTGAAGCTAATAAAGCTTGCTTGTCAAAGCTTCTTGCTTTTTTCCATTTTCTTCGGTGGTGGTTATTGGTGGGTTTGAATCCATCATTTTCAGACATGTTCTGTAAGAAAATGCCAGCCCCAGACGTAGAGTTTTATCTTGATAGTGATGGAGATGGTAAAATGAAATTGATGTTTGGGAGTTGATCATGCAGATTATCGCTATCAATGGTAGTTCATTTGCCTTTCACTCTTGCTTGAATTGAAATAACAATTAATGATGAAGAAATTTTTATTGTGATTAAAAAATATAATGCTAAAAGTAGACTCTTATCCGAATGATCATTTTTAGTTCTTATTTTTTTTAAAATATTTTAATATTCATTAAAATGACTAATGTTATATGAAAACAATTAGTTAACTAATAATCAACTCGTATTATTGATGTAACATTTTTATATTATTTAATTATTAATGTGACACATGTCATGTTTTTATCTTGGATGATGTGCATGTGACACATCACCAATTTATTGTATATGAAAATTCCATGTTAATAATATATGTTGATCATTAGTCAACTAACGATTTCAAACATTATAGGCTATTTTGATAAAAAAAATATATTGAGGGTTAAAGTGCTCAAAAAAAGAATAAGGACTAAAATGACTATTCGAGCAAAAATTAGAGAACAAATTTTGATATTGTACCTAAAAATTTCAAACAATCATGCAAATACTACATATACAACCACGTACTAGTATATTATTGACA